TACTTCCCAAATACTTCTACTTTTACCATTTTTTTTATCCCCTGCAGAGATGAGAAGGTAGTTTTCTCTAGTGAAGAGGCATATAAGACTCTAAATAGTCGAATTTGGTTGGCTATGCGTTAGGGAAAAGACTGTTTTATGGTAACCTCTTACAAGCTATTCATAAAATCTAGAAACTTAAAGATACAATCAAACTTATTTTCCTTGCAGGAGGTCTCTTTAAAACAACAAATCACTTATGCAGAAGATTTTGAAATGGTTCTTAATGGGGCCCTTAGTTTATTTATGATAAGCCGTTCATTTTTAAGAAATGGTCTCACAATCTTAAGTCTGGTAAAGAGAAATTGAAGGACTTGTCATTTGGCTAAAATTTCCTTATCTTTCTCCTTGTTGGTCAGAAATTGATATATCTAAAATAGCTAGCAAAATTGGGATTCCACTCATTGTTGATCCTCTTGCTGCAAAATGTACAAGATTGTCATTTGCGAGGGTTAGTACACAAATTCTCACTATTTTTATTTTATTTTATTTCATTATTATCTCTATAAAAGGAAATGACCAATAATAATAAGTGATATATGAGTGGAAACTTAACTCTTGTAAGTTTTATGATACTTTTGTGCATCACAATTCTGCTTGCCCCATATCTTCAAATTACAAATTTTCATCAATATTCCATATTCATCGAGGTTGAAGTAAATTTAGGGTTGGTACTTGACCCCCTACTACAAGCATAAGCAAGTGCTCCTTTTCTCTATTCTCTTTTTGGATTCCCCATCTTCCACAACACTGTATTTGAATGAACTTGTTATTTCTCTTACTAATAAAAACTCCTTTTCTAGTGAGACTACTTCCCAAGACCTTGAAGTTGGAACTAAATAGGGCAATTTTCCATCTTCTAAGAACCCAAAAAATGATGTATTTGCCTCTCCCATTCTCTTACCCTCCCATAATAACATCATTTATACCACACTTCTATCATATATAATTCTCTTCTCCATTCCATTGAAAAACCTACGTCAACGCACCACCTTTAAGCATAAGAAAGGAAGACCAAGAAAGAATATTTTCCACTCCAGATCCCAACACTAGCTATGTTTTTTCTCAAGAATATACCTTGGAATGTTTGGGTTTTATCAGTGATCTTCACATAATTGATTGTACAAATCTTATTAAAACCCATAAACCTTACATCCTTTGTCTAATTGAAACCAAACTCAACATTTCCCTAGTTTCTAACCTTTTTTTGCAAGACGTTACACCCTCTTACCAAATGAGTCTTGTAATAATAGTTTTAACTACTATTCTTTTAGATGCATCTGGATTAAAATGGAACTCTACTTCTCTCTCTATCTCTTTTATAACTTTAGAAGTTAATACACAATTTATTCATTAAACAGTGGTTTGTTCCTCTCCCGATAAGTTCTAGGTTATTTTTATTTATGCTGATACTTCTATAATCAAACATAGATAATAATAGTTTTTTCACAATGTGGTGGATGAAAATATTGAATCATGGCTTATTTTAGTGGATTTTAATTGCATACACAGTCCTAAAAATGTCCCTCCTCTGCTTAGCAAGCTTTTTGACTTTACTACTTGCATCTTTAATGCTACAATTTTACGCTAGAAAAGTATAGGAATTTCTTATAATTGGTTCAACCAACAACTTGAAAATCAGATAAAGTGTTTGCTTGATAGTCCTTTATGCAACAATCAATGACAGAACTTGTTTGCAAACTCTCTTTTCAAAGTCTTAGAGCCACTCACAACTGAACATTTTCTTGTGCTCATCTCATTAGGAGATAATTTTATACCTTGATACAAATTTTTATATAAAAACTACTATAGTAAATTAAATATTTTTTATGGTATCATTTCAAATTTTTGAAATACCCAAGTGAGTGGTGATCCTCTATTAGCACTTTATAATAAATTGAAAAATGTGAAATATGATATTAAAAATTTAAAATGGAATTCATCTAAGTACATTATTAGTACTATTGATGAGCTTAAATATGATCAGAAGTGTGTTATGTACGATCTTAAGAAATCTCCACTTAATAACAACCTTTTTATCTAAAACAAAGTCATTTCAAGAAAGACTTATTAATGCCACCATAAAGTGAGTGAGTAAAATAGAGAGCAAAACACACTTAACTTTCAAAGGGTGAGGAGGATGATATTAAATTGCTATATTAATGAATAAAACTTGAAGGCCATGCAAGCCATTTTCATGCAAGAAATCTCCACTTAATAACAACCTTTTTATCCATTTTCATGCAGGCCATGCAAGCCACCAAACCACATGCAAGCCACATGTAAGCCACCAAACCACTTTTAGCCTAATCAACCCACCATTTTGGATTTGCCAAAAGGTGGTTAACTATTCCCATGACTCACTAAAACCTAAGCAAAACCAAAATCCCCATGATTAAGATTTGTCCACCCAAACTCCCATCAACTCATTTTCATGCAAAGACCAAATACAACTAAATGAGCTTAGTCCACTTCCCTCCAGATCAAGTCAAGGCTCACATAACCACTAAATGACAAAAAAATAATAATATAACAATATTATATATATATA